TGGCCTAGCACTAACTGCTTCAAACAACAGCAAAATAGTTTCATGCACTGAGAGAAAAAAAATTAAGATAAAACACCACCAATCAAAGCACAGGGGGCCTGCCCCTTAGCTCACTTCTTTAAGTGGCTGCTTCAACAAAGCAGTCAGGCTCAGGTTGCTGTGGTTAGATCCCCACAACTCAAGCCAGCCAAACCTGCCCTGAAGGCATTCGGAGCCCCCCCACCCCAAAAAAAAGCATAAAATAAAGCACCCTTTCTGAGTTAAAAACTTAAGATTCTTTCTGAAAGTCTCTTCCTTAAATGATTGATACTGTAGAGACATAGGGACAAAAGTTCCTGCTCTCAGAAGAAAAGCACTGAATATACAAAAGGAATGGGCTGGAGAGATGGCTCAGTGGTCTAAAGCACCTACTTAGAACAAGCTTAGCAAAGCATCAGGGACCGCGGTTCGATCCCCCAGCACCACATGCCAGCCAGCCCCGCCCCCTGGTGGGCTGAGCTGGCCACACACACTCACTCTCTGTCTCTCTCTGTCTCTGTCTCTGTCTCTCTCTCTCTCTCTCTCTCTCTCTCTCTCTCTCTCTCTCTCTCTCAAATAAATAAAAAAAAATTTACAAAAGGAATGCCTGGGAAAATAATACAAGCAGTGCTGTTCTTTCTCCTTCTCCTTCTCCTCTTCCCCCTGCCCCTCCCTCCTTCTTCTTCCTATCATTATAATAATATTTATGTATAGTGTAGGGTCTCACTAGGCAGCTCAGACTCCTAGTGAGATCCTCCTGTTTTCAGCCTCCCCAGCACTGGGATTACAGGCACGTGCTGCTACGCTGGGACTTGGTGACCAATTCAGTGTGCCCAGGAGGGTTGGGGGGCACAGTGGTGCCAGGGATCGAACCCTGGTCCCTGCGCTTGCCTGAGCAGGTGCTTAGGCAGTGAGCTATCTCATCAGCCCAATGTTTCATATTACTAAAACCAATATTCTATGTTTTGTGTTAGTTCTCATAGCATATACAAAAAGTAAAATACCATACTGTGTGATACTTTCCACAGTGAAATTGGAATGAGTCCCTTGGAAGTTTTTCACACACACAACCTAAGACAATAAAAACATAATCTATGAAATTAAAAGCACTACTACTAGAAGAACCAAACACACATTTGTATTAATCTGTTGTTCTACTGCCACTAAGTAAATGATTATCAAATCAATCTTATTAGGCACAATTAACAAAATTATGCGAAAAAGCAGTTTATGTGGGCTTATTCTCTTTTAATGTTTAACATTCTTCAAAGTTAACTTTTAAATAAGAAAACTATTAATGTAATACAGAACTAACATTTTTGAGCACTTCCTATGAGCCAGCCACCGTTTTACGTATTAATCATAAATTTCACAACCATCTCGTCAAAGCATCAGATTAGCTCGTTTTCATAGATGAGGCTCTGAGGTTCAGAGAGGTAATGCAATGAGTCGGCTGCATCTCTTTTAAACAACAGACAAGTGAGTAAGGAATGGAGGCAGGTCATTCTTTGGGCATGTCTATAGATACTAAGGCTGTGAAAAAAATACACACTCAGTTACAATTTAGACACTATAACAATTACAATTAGACACTATAACAATGTCTTCCATCATCCTGGGGAAATAGATGATGGTCCATATCAGAAAATTCCGTGACTAATGCAAGCTCACGTATGACCTCTGCAGTGTAACTGAAGGCTATTTTACAATGCTAGGCTGGTTCTCACTGTGTATCAGCAAATGCTAGCTGGAGTCTGCCTAGGCCAACTTTTTTCCATTAGGTAGTAAAAGGACTGTAACATAAATTTAGGAATTTACAATTCCTCTGCTGAACCTAGATTTTGAAGACAGCCATAGCTGGGGTCGCTGCACAGGTGAGTCCTCTGGAAGCCCCCAGAGCGGCAGCTAAGTGTGTGGATAAAAATCACCTTGCTCGGGACTCAGGCTACTGGGAAGCTTTAGGCTTCTGCAAATAGCTGCTCATGTGATAAATGTGTCATAGGTTTGAATTCCACGCTTAGTAGCTGAAAAGACGATACAGTGTATAAGATATTAAATAGTCTAACGCTTAACCTTATAAGAAAAGTGGGTGACTGAAAAACTGCCCTTGGAAACAGTCACACCCAAGGTCTGGAGAAATTAATCAGGCTGTAAAAGAATGGCTGAGGTTCCACAACAATTATGAAAATTAAGAATAATGGAAATTTTCCAACGTACTTGCTGTATTACAGGAAATGGGTTTCTGGAATAATGCAATTGCTAAGGACAAGGAGAAAAATAATATCTAATTTTCTCTGCAAGAAGTCAAAAACTGGGAGGAGTTACTAGCCTTTGTAGGGCAAGCAAGATAAATTAACTAATATGTTCGTATTTAACCTGAGAGAACATTACTTCCAAAATTGGAATCAACATTTTTGTATTACTTATCATAAAATGGTTCATACTTAGAAAAGTAACTAATTGCACCTAATATTATGTACTATAACAATTTAGCAATATTATTGACATTCCATAGACTTATGCCTTTCCTTTAGATGTGGAGAACCTTCCTTGTCAGGACACGATTTTCACCTTGATTCCAGGTACACTAACAGCTCACACATGACGCTCTAGGGAGAAGAAAGCCTCTGCACTTCCAGAGCAGCACCTAGCGCAGGCTGCTTGGCGTACGGCACGTGCAAATCTCCTTACTCGTATATTGCTGCTCCCTCGGATACATGATACTAAATAACACTTTCCTCAGTTACCCAATATTTGAAAAATTACGGCAGCGCCAAGGCTCACTGCTGGAGGAGGCATCTGAGACTCCAAGGCAGGCTTCACTTGTTGCCCAGGTGCATCAAGAACAAGGGGAAACAGCACTGTGCAGCAACCACTGTTGTGGGGATCACGCTGGTGGTGTGCTACTTCTTGATGTTTAGGATTTTAAAAGCTAAAAATATTTTTTAAAAATCCCAACATCATGACAAAGATGGCACAAAAGAATAAATAGCAAGTTGGATAGGGCTGGTGCATGCCTGTAATCTCAGCACTACGGGAGGCTGAGACAGGAGGACAGTAAGTTCAAGCCCTAGCTTGGGCAATTTAGTCTGATTCTGTCCCAAAATAAAAAAAAAATTAAAAAGAGGGCATTGCTCAGTAAGTACAAAGACTCTGGGTTCAATACCCAACACTGGGAGACAGGAGAAAAAAAAAAAAAAAGAAGAAGAAGAAGAACCAGTGAGGAAAGGAAAGGACTACCTCTCACCTCCGTCAGAGTGATAAGCACAATTCTGAGTGGTACTCAAAAACCTAGAGTGGTACCTGAAATGCCTCAGGGAAGCTGAACAATGGCTTATGCAAACACACCTTAGGACGCAGAGCTGCCTTCTTTAAATATGCAAAGACGTCCTTGACTGGATGTAGATTATTCTATCAAATTCCTTTTAAATCTTTTTGTTTTAAGTGAAATTGTTTGTTGTGGCTATTAAGAGTGAGCTTTGAGAGGGCAGGCATACTATCTGCAAATGGTCCCGAGTACTTTTCCTTGGGCTTAGATCCACTTACAGTAATTCAAAGCTGAATTCAGCAGTTACACTTTGCAAGTGGGCTATAAAGGGAAATTATACAATGTGATAAAAAGGCAAATATGAAAAACTAAATAAGGTAAACGTTACTTCGGCTTTATTACCTTAAAAACTGAATTTTTTTCTACGACAAATAAATGCTTTTATCTCAGTGAAGATTTAAAGCAATTGTGTAACTATGTTTGCTCAGTCCCCATAAAAATTAAAACCAAAAGGATATTTTAATTAGCTCCAAAAGTGTTGGTTACAGGAGCAAAATCAGAAATTTTTAAATATTTTTTATTATGTTTTAGAAGCAAGTTAGGCCCGTCTTACCTGACACCCAGGGAGCTCAGGCAACCCCCAGAAGGTGAGACAGACAAGAACGTAGTAGCTGTGGTTTATATCCTCACAGTTTGGCTACCTCCTTTTCTCTTGTCCTTCTTATAATTCAGGTAAAAAGGCACCACTTTTCAGAATGAATGACTAATGTTTCTACTTTAATTCCCCCAAATCCATGTCTCAAGTGCAGAGTTGCCATGAGTTATACAACAGAGAGATGTTTACCAAGTTATCCAAAGGACAAAAAATAAATAAATTTTAAAAAGCTTTCACATTTCTTGCTACTATCAAAGTCTTAAGGTTTTTCTTAAGCAGAACACAAACCAGGCCAGCTACTGTATGTTAGTACCACAAAGGTACCTAACTCATCTGAGAGTTCTCACAGCATCTGAGATAACTAATGCATTCACAATGTTTCAGGGTGTTCTGGTGCATAGTAAGTGCTCTATGAGTTAGCAATCATTGTCAAAATAGAGCATGCGCATTTGATAAAAGATCAAAAATACATAATCACAGAAACTTAAAAAGTCATAATTAGACCTCATTATTTTACTTAAATGTAAAAGTAAATAGATTTATAGTGTCTGTGAATCTATACCAAGTTTGGGACAACTTTCACTGATGTTTCGTTAAGCATAGTAACTGTCTAGAAGGAAAACTGAGTTGTAGGGCATGAACACAGAAATAATAAGGAACAACAATGCAATGTGTCCATACAGCAGCTCCTGTCTGTCACTTACTCGCTGTCTGCTACAGATCAGATCATACACTAGAAACGCCCAGGCAACACTCTGCAGGAAAAAACCTAGGAACCATGAGCGCTTCGCAGACACAACTTTGAAATAATAAATTACAATTCTATTTGACTATTTCCAATGACTAAAAAATTTCTTATTTTGAAAGATAATTTCAATAAACTATGGTACTTTGACTTCTTTCATCAATGACAATAAAAGACAAGAGAGCACGTATTTACACGCCTGTACCCAAGGGCTGCACCTCCACACACGCAGTGTCCAGCGGTACCCAGGCAGGAAGAGCTCCCCCTCCCAAGTCCACCCCAGCCAGAGGAGGCATGAGTGTGCCACAACAAACCTGCTGGAAAGGCCGGGCCTGGGCCTGCCTGAGAAGCCGCTGCTGCTGCTGCTGCTGCTGCTGCTGCTGCTGCTGCTGCTGCTGCTGCAGAAGCTTCATCTGGATCAGCTGCTGCTGCGAGGTGACGGCATGCAGGGGGGGCGGCTGCATCGCGGCCCCAGAGCGCCGCTGCAGCATGTTGGACAGAGCTTGTTTGGTGTTGGTTGGAACAAAGGAGCCAGCAGGGTCTAGCCTGGAGCCCCCTACATAAAGCAACGACAGGAAAGATTTTCTGAATGGTAAACAGAACAATTTCCCATGCTTTATAAAAAATGTAGACATTTCCCTATCTACCATCAGTCTCAGGTTAGGCACAAGAGGGAACCTAGTGTACTGCCCCATCACTGCACATGTTTAGGATCGGCTGTATCACTGTTAGAAGATGAGGGGGCAGTACACCAGGTACTTGTAATAGTTTAGTATGGCTTCATATGGTCACACAACAGTTGATGAAATGACGTGTCAGAAATAAGCTGCTGACACAGTTTGGGATTTCGGTGGGTTTGAAATGACACCAGGCGCTCAGGACAGTCCTCGCAGGCTGCACACCGCCTCGGTGATGTGTTGTGCCCAGGGACCCACGCCAGCCATGGACAGCCTTCTGTCCTCTAACCAAACAAATCTAAACTCTTACTATGTTAGCTGCTTCGCCGTAGCACAATAAAAACATCTATTTTGGAGAAGAAGAACATGGAAACACTTTGAAAACTTGACGTAGTTGCAAACTTCAAATGCCACAACTCTAAAAACATTTTTAGATGCTTAAAATCAAATGAGACTAGAAATACTGATAATATTGTTGCTTAAGAAACCAAAGGGACCCTTAACATATCAGCATACATAATTTGTTGAGGGCTTTTATCAAAATTAGAAAAAACTATTTTTCAACTTGCTGGCTCCACATCAAATGCTCATCTTTCACTTACCACAGTCTACTTTTCATGTGTATAAAAGAGAATGACTACAAATTATTTATAAAAAATATGTTGTCTTTGTTAAAAGCAAATTCTATGCTGGAAACAAGCATTTTAAATGTGTCCACTTGAGCTGAGTATGGTGCCACACAGCTGTAACTCCAGCACTTGGGAGGCTGAGGCAGGATCACAAGTCGGAGGCCAGCCTAAGCTGTACAGCCGAGTTCAAGGCCAGCCAAGCTACAAAGCAAGACCCTATCCCAAAATGACCCCCCCCAAAAAAAGTTCATTTGAAAAACAGACTCAGTATCACAATCAACAATATGATTTATTGTCATTCAGTAGTATTTGAAGAACACGTGACAAGCAATGAAAAGTTAATAGAGTAACATATGTCAAACACTTTCATTATAAGAATTGTAACTACATAAGAGCCAGGAATATAGCTCAGTGGCATAAGTGCTTGCCTGGCAAGTCCAAGGTCCCGAGTTCGATCCCCGGTACAAAAAAAAAAAAAAAAAAAAGGATTGGAACTATACTAATATTTAACTGACAGATTTATAGAAAAGCAAAAGTTTTTTTAAAAAATTAGACTATCTCTTCCCTCTTTCTGTACTAGGCACAGAACCCAGGGTCTTTACACTGAATTACACCCCTAGCCCCTTTATACAATTTCCTTTTTTTTTTTTTTTTTTTAACTCAGGGTCTCACTAAGTTGCTGAGGTGCCCTGGCTAGGCTCAAACTTTTGATCTTTTTGCCTCTGCGTCCCAGAGTACTGCAACTACATCACTTCTGGTCCTTTAACTCCGTTCTTTTAATTTTCTAGCCTCTGTAATTTTGTACCTCTGAGCCAACTGAAGAAATAAAATGTTCTAATAGACCTAAAGTCCTCGGCATATTCCTAATAATTTTCTCAACTCTTACCAAATGCTATTCTGATATGATATTATTCCCCCAAATTCCCATACAGCTTAATTGTGGGTGTGTATCCGTGATTGAGATTGGTACAGGTGTGTGTATGTGCGGAGCGCCTGGGAGAGATCTCAGGCACGTGCTTCCACAAAGCACACAGCTAGCCCTTTTGCTTTGCACTTTGACATTTATAAAATTTAGGTAAAAAAATTCACATGGACCTTGGAATTCAAAAAAGTCAAAAAACAAAAATACAACTGTTTATCTTCTACATTTATCACCAAGTCTAGTGTGCTTTTTGTAGTTTGCACTCAGCGGTCTTACTTGTTTCCAGAAGAGGTTACCTGGGCTGGCCATGAGCTCCTGGGCTCAGCAGCATTCCTACCGCAGCTGCACAAGTACCCAAGATTACAGACATGCGCCACCATAAAATAAGGCTGGAGCCTTATTTGAGAAGAGGAACACATGCTGAGTTGGGGGGATTGCAAGAAGGTCAACCGAACACCTAACTGTGCAAGTCCCCAAGTTCTAGAGAGGTTTCCGGCTGGAACAAAAGAGAAGCCCATGCCACAGCTCAGCCAGTGACATTCTCCTGTCACGTACCTGGAGTAAGAGTCTGGTTCTGCAGAAGAAAGCCGGGCTGCTGGGGCTGGCTCATGAGGTTGTAGCCCCACAGGGCGGGCTGCGGATGGTGCATCATTTGAGAGGAGATGGGTGAGTAATTGGGAGGCACTCGATAGATGCTGCTCTGGGGATACTCCTTTAACATAGAGATTTAAAAGAATTAACTCCATACACTATACAACCAATTACTATAAACACTTCCTGCACAACTGAAATACTTCCTGTCCCAGTACATAAAGCTGTTATTTAAAAAAAAAGATACAAAGCAAGACTGGTAATCTATTCTCTGTAAAGTTAACACAACAGAGTTAAAACATTGCCTTGGCTGTCTGAACAAGTACTTGGATGAGGGCATGGTTCAATGGGAGTGAGCATGCATGATGCCCTGGGATTGATCCCTAGCAACACACGCACGCATGCACACACACACACTCACATGTGCAGAGAAGAAAAATGATCATTGGTAAATTGCTTTTCTAAAATTCTAAAAGCCAACAGAGTACAATCTCTACAGATGAGAGATCTTGGAAATCCTGACACTCTCCCTGGCTTTGGATGGAAATTATGCCAGAAAGGCCCACTGTGCTTCAGAACCATCCTGCCACTGCCTCTCCCTTGCAGCTTTCATGGCCGCACTCTGAAGGAGGAAGCTCCCTGTCACTCCCCGAGCCTCTTCCTTAGCAGCTACAGCCCCTGAGGAGCACACCAGCGTCCCACTTCCCTCATCAGCCTTCCTTTCTCTAGTCTAGGTGCAGGAATGCAGGACAATTAGAAACTCAGGATCCTGATTTTACGAAAGAATGCATCTTATTAGAAACCAGCAGCAGCTTCAGAAGAAGAAAGGAGGAGGGGACGTGACAAGGCTAACTTGGGAAATGATACCCCTCAACTCTCTCTGTGGACTGCCGGGCTAGGATTTCCTAACTGCAGTGATCCACCTGGGCCAAATGGAGCATGAGTTCACACAGAGGACACAGAGCAGACTAAATGAGGACAGGGCACTGGCACTCAAAGGTACCCAGCAGCGCCGGGGCCACTTCTAGGAGACCCCTGACCACCAAGCGATCAGTAGGAAAACACATACTCTGGTTTTGATAGCAATGAACAGCAACAATATGATTCATGAATGTCTTAATGCTAAATAGTTGATATTTTTACAACTGTGCAGCAAGAACACCCTTAAATTTTTTGGAAACGTTTCTCAAATCCTCTCTCAAGTATTTTCTATGTAAATTTAAGTTCAGATATTTTACATATCACATCTGGTAGTCTACAAAATCATTTCTAAACTGCCACTTAATAATTTTCCGTTATTTAGAACAAAACATTATTTATTGTTAAGGAAGCAAGACGTGAAACAATTTTAAATAAATTTCATTTATCTTTTATAAAACTTGAAAATATGGTGAAAAAAATACAAAAAATTAAGATAAAATGGTGAAACAGATCTCAGGAACATACTATTGGATGGATATGTTAGATATAACTTTACAGAAAAGCAAAAAGTTTATGTTAATTTACTATAGATCTTAGTCACTTAATATACCATAAATATGCTTTAAAAAAAGCCTAATAATGAAAATACATAGGAGAATGGAGTTCTAAAAAATTAAGATATAAGGCACTGAAATATTAACTATTATTCACATAGATGGCTAAAATTAAAGTTATCATATTAAAGTTATCATATTCATATATATATATGAATATATATATATATATATATATATATATATCCTAAGAATATAATTTGGTCAATGGAAAGCCACATACTAGAGGTGGACCAATCTTTTTATTTCCCCTACTCACATCAACTCGTGAGCTTGATTTCGTCTTGCGCTTCCTTCCCTTGGTCTTCTTCTCTTCATCTGTTGTGGTTTTTCCCTGATCTGACAGCTCAGCTGATTTCCTTTCTGGTTCCTGAGAAATGGGAGATGTGGGCTCTTCCTCTTCCTCCTCAGGAGGCAGGGGCAGTGGCTCGAGGTAGTAGCTTCGGGGCTTGGGCATGGGGTGTGTGTGGTACAAAAGGAGGTGATGCTGCTCCTCATACTTAATCACTTTGCGGTCCATTCGGACAGTCCCGAACCAGGCCCATGACAGAGGAGCTGGGTTCTTCTGACCCTCAAACAAGTCCCAAGGGGACACCTTCTGCTTTGTGGAGACCTGGAGACCCTGTGGTAAAATAATGTTCTATGACAACACACTCAGATCTCTCCCTGATTTATAGGCCAGGCTTGCTTAGACATAGATGCACAGAGTATTTCTGCTGGTGTGAACCACATAGAATCCATCACACATGTTAGAGCTAACGAGCTAGGACCCTGGAGGGAAGCATCTAGCATTCAGACACTGAAGTCACTTCCACAGTTCTTTATATCACAAGATGCTCTGCTCAGGCAAAATAAAGCAGTCTAGCATATTTCACTGTGAAGGGGCATTTTCACATAGTCTGTTTTAGTTAAAAAAAAAAAAAAAAAGCCTCTAAAGTATACTACAAAGTAGATTTTACTACACTAAACAACAACCAGCTACAAATCTCCGGAATCTATTTGTTGTTTTTAAGCTAATACAAAATGTAAGTCAAGAAACAGTTAGCATCTAATAGGGTTCATGTTAACCTCAATCTAAACTTGCATGGACTTGATTTGATACTGCAACCTTTCATGAATTTAATAAGCCAATCTTTGAGGACAGTAATATTATCATTGAATTAAATTATGGCAACAGGTACAAATGAAGTGTTTCAGTTTGTCTTTAATGACTCTGGAAGAAGCATGTCAACCTGTTTCTGAAAACACAACTTTCTTACTTTTGACCTTAGTTGGTGACTGTCCCTTGAAAATTTCCCTCATATGCTAACTGGATCATGTTTGCCTCCAAACGGTCTCCCAAATAACTATCCAGTGAATCCATTACATGTGGGTACTCTTTTGTGGTAGGTTTCTAAAAGCAATCAATTACCACGTACATATTAACCATTTCCAAACTTCCGGGTTAAGGCGAGACCACTTGCCCGGTGTAAAGATCACACATCCAGATGTCTCCTGTTAGCACACTCAGGCTACCATGAATCCTGCTTTTCTCTTTCCAAAGACACAGGCATTGGGTATTCAGCCACTCTGAATGACAACAGCATTGTACTGCCTTTTTCTACCAGATACATTCTTTTATGCCTTAAATAAACTCTTCCACTCTTCCCTCTCCCTTATCATACTAGCTCCAACTAGTGCTTAAACCACCCCTAGACCATCTGCCCGCTGTCCGGGGGACTCTGCCAATGACCTTCCTCTCCCTGAGTCTGGTGGCTTTTCCTCCCAGCCCTCATACTCTTTCTGTATGATGACCCACAAATCTCATCACACTGTAATTGTTTATCTAGTTCCCTTGGGGCTCAGGGCCTGGGCCTCTATCTTTGTGATTTGCTCCATGTTAACTGTGGTTGCTCAGTGTTCACTGAAAGAGTTACTCACGGATCTATTTCAGAAAACTTTTTAAAAATACGTTATATAAAGCAAATGTCCATGTATTGTTCTTTAGTAAGAATGGATTGTAACAGTTAAAATAATTACACTTGAAACATATTTATCAATGAAAATTTCTTCATCCACATATACTCTGCTTGCAGTTCTAAAGTAAAACTAGAACTTCCTGTGCCTACACATACACACTAAGCTTTTACTTGGCTTTCCATTGGTAAATTTAGAAATCTACTTAAATTCATACAAACATTTCAGGTGAAGGCTCTTCAAAGAGCTAACCTATTTATAATACTAATGACCACTGCACTTAAGATAACAAGAATATAACTTTGAAAAAGTCAGAAAACTAAAAAGTCAAAAAAAATTTTATATATACCTAGGAAGGTTAAAAAATGAGTTACATAAACAAAGTTATGAATGAGAAAATAAAAAACATTTACTCTTGCCTGTTTTTTATCTATAGAGTCAAATCCAGCAATTTTGTTTCCCTTTGTGTCGATCAGAGAACCCATAGGTTCACAAGTGATGACGTCACACGTCTGTTTGGGCAAAGGGAGCAACTGCCGAACTTTGTCAATGCTTTCTGACCGCTTGTCTCCTAGCTCTTTCTGGGAAAAAAAGAAAAAGACAGAGGGAGAGAGAGAGGGAGGGAGGGAGGGAGGGGGCAGGGGAGAAGTGGGACAGACATTTAGAAATTACAACACAGGCAAAAGTTAACAAGAAGGAAGTTCCCCTCTGGAGCATATCCTTTTTTATAGCTTTCATGTTCTTTAACCCTGAGCACGGTCTGGGGAAGAACTCCAAATCAGTGATGAGTCTGTTTCATTTCTTCTATTTAAGTAGAAAATAGAGCATACATTAAAGCTGTCTTTTTATATAGCAAACATCAGAGTGCTGAAATGACAAAAATCTAGAGTAGCACTTGTATGCAGAAGACAGGAGCTGCAGCCTGGAACACTTTCCCGTACCAGCCAAGGTCAGACCATAAGGTAACCACCAGTTAATTTTATTTCTAAGGTCTTTATCTATATTTTATCCTTTGTGCTATTTTTCTTCAGCTTATTTGAAAGACTATGGTGATGGTTCATGAAGGGCCAGATTTACAAATATCAGTAGATGTGTATTTTTCAACTACATATGGCAAATCTAAACATGGATGTATCCTAAATAAATGTTTGATACCAAATGTCTAAGACAGATTTAAAATTAAACATTTTTTAATATAATTCATTTAAAGAAAAATTTATAGGATTATACGCTTATGTAATTTTTCAGCTACTGGTAAGCTAAGGTAAAACAAACAGCAAATCACCACACTAAATTAATTTAACGGATAGTAGTTTTAAATAAACTCTTAGATAACAAATTCCAGAAAGAACATGACCTCATAATATGAGCTGATGACAAACTTACTTTCAGTTTCTTTACTAAATTCATGTATGCACGCTTGTTCTCTTCAGATCCACCCGGGGATGCATTTGATAGGTCAGAGGCTAATGTTCCATTGATTAAAACGCCCAGCATGTCAAGCACTGTGGTGAATAATTCACTAGGAAGGGAAAGGAAATTCTGTTAAAGGCAAGCCAAGGCACCCTTGGATTACTGAGCATTTCTATCGAAGGCACAGAACTTTTAAAGGCATCTACATTAATAAGATGTGATAGAATTTGATCAGTACATCAGAAGTTATACCACGTGCATATATAATAAAATAAACAAGAAATGCTAAGAGCCTACTTGTTAGTGTGCATGTCAACGGTTCCAGAAGTAATTATCTGAAGGAGTAGCAGGGCCCAGTCTGTGGTCCACTGGGTGCTCCTCTGCACCGTGTCAAACATTCCTCCTACCTAGCATACGAAATACAATGATAAGTTTGTTTCGACAGACACATGGAGTGAGAAAGCAGGGCTTACTATACAGTCTAAAGACTATCCGTCTTCTTTCTCAATTAGCTACATATCACTATTTTTGGATTCTTTAGCATGGTTTGGTCATTCAAAAATTCAATAAAGAACAGTAATGCTTGAGTGTGGGCAGCAACAGAAATAGTCTTCTTCCTACTCTTTCATGATACTCAGTTTACGCTATAGTTATAGTTAAATTGAGCTGTCAAAACTGCATAACCTGATTATGTTCACCTTGGTGTTGCCTAATTTCTGTTCCATCTAAGCCTGTGATCACATTAGCTGAAGGGCTGCCAGTTTGTCTATGTGGACACTGGGTTAAAAACAACACATCACCCCATCATCCCCCAGAAAGGCCTTCATCTGGGTCTGTGCAGCAGGAGAGAACTCTTTGAAGGAATGTACAATGGTTAAGAAATTTTGAATTTCTATAAAATATCTCTGCAAGATGTCCTCCTAATCAATTTGATGGAAACTCACAATTCTGAGTTGAAGAATTTTAGTATTTTAAAAATAAGAACAGTAAAAGTTAATGCTCATCTCAAAGTCCTCTGAGCCTACTCTTCGCATAGACTAAAGAGAAACCTGCTTGATGGAGACAGGCTGGAGAAGACAGAGCAACGCTCAGACCACCTACTGCTGTCTAGAACTCAGCTCCCACAGGAAGCAACAGAAGGTTCGAGCGAGAGCAGTAGTTACAGAAGGCAAACAGCAGGACGCCTCTCGTTGGCTCTCCCCACAGCAGAAGCTGGAAGCTGGAGTTATTTTCACACATACAGTACGTGTATGCAATACAGGGAAAAAACTCGAAAATTCCTTACCAAATTGAGGCGAAGTTGTAGCGCTTCATGCATCATCTGCCGCGCCTTTATGTCGTCTTGGTATCGTTCCTCTCTCCAATTACTTAAAATCTAAGATCAGCACCCCACCCCCAAAAAAAGAGGAAAAAAAGGAAAGAAATAGCTTTCACTACTTAAAATTGAATTTTTCTTGTATTTAATTTTATTAACAACCAGAAACAAATTTTGCTTTAACAAATTAACAAAGTTGTATAAAAATTTAGCCTTCCTTCCTTTTCTCCATGAAGAGACTTATTTCTTTGTTCATCTGCCTTTGCAGAAGGAAAAGAAAATCTTACCAAATTGTACATCCCTTCGCTTAGTCTGAGAAAATGTTTTAGAAGACATCAAAGTGAGCAGTCACAAAATTTTAAAAACTACATTGTTTCACTGACCTTATGAAGAACAACACTAGAGAGCTAGAATTCCATTTTACACTGGTCCCATTTTATATTTCTAGGGATGTGCTATGAGCCCTAGAAAAGGTATTAGTAGAAGTTTGCTATCTTGACACATATTTTTCCTTGAATAACAGGAATGTAAATCATTTTGACAAAATGAGGCATCTCATGCATCCATCAAGCAAGTTGCATATAAATTTATAAAGCAGCCTGCTCCATTTCCTCACTGACACACATTAATGCTGGGAAAGGAAGCTTCCTGAGGTAAGGCAAGCCGCAGTGTGCTGTGCCCTAGAAGCAGATGTCACAGGAAACACACACACAACAACCAGAAAAAAATCTAGGTGCTAATGAGAGTCATTTTGCAAGAGTAAAATGAGTCACATGCAGAAGTGGTCCTTGGCAGCAGTGGGCCTGTGAGCAGAGGACAGGGCAGGGGAGAAGGAGCCCTTCCCCAACCTCATGCGGGCCTCTCCCAAGCTTCAATTAAGGTGAGAGGCAGCGAGCACACACAGTTCTCCTGGAGCTTGTAAGACACTCGTGAGACAAACACACACAAGTCAAGCTGAGCAAGTGGTGGGAAGCAGGGCAAGCAGAGAAGGAACTACAGCAGTCCGGCCCTGTTCTTAGAATGTGATCAAGGCTTCATGAGAAGGTAACCTCTGAACAGAGATGTGAATGAAACAAAAAGAGTACACAGGCTACTATCCCAGAGGAATCCTCCTCAAAGAGGAAAAAAGATGTGTGGGTGTTACAAGCAAAACCTGCTCAGCGAGTTCTAGGGACAGCCACCAGCCACTGTGGCAAGTATGGGTGAGCAGGGAAAACTAGGAAGCAAGGTGGAAGACAGCAAGTGTCAGTGATTTGGGGCCTTGCTATCCATACTGGGAGTTTTTTTATTACAGATGATGAGCAAAAAAAAGTTAAGTGCCCTTGTGCACTTCCACCCAGTCACATTCAGGAGAAAGACACAAGCCCATAAGTCACAGCACCGCAGGAGGGCTCCAACTGGCTCTGCACCAGTGTGAATGTCTCCTAAGGTCAATTTATCCATGTGCCTTGATTTAAAGTTTTGATTTCTAATTCAGTCATTCAGCTCCTCTGCAGCTCACAGAATGCCAACTGCCTCTCACAGTGATCAGAAGAACCAGGGCTGGGGGAAAGGTAACTTTAAGACTCTGCGCAAATGAACCAATACAATATACCTTCTGACTTACGAGTGAGTTTCGGATGTTTTCAAATGGGATCAAATTGAGTCTTGGCGGCCAAGAAAACTGACTTCCTGAAACTTCAGTCAGGTTGCAACCTCCCTATCACAGGGAAGCCCAGCCCGAGGAGCAAGGATGGGGCTCCTGTGCCTCACATCCCCCACACACTGGCCTCCACCAGGCCTTCTGCACTCATGAGACAGAGGTAGGACATGGGCGTATATTCTGCCTCAAAAGGTACAGGCAGCATGTAAGAATTTACTTTTATAGTCTGTGCATATGTATCATATGCATGACGTTATCAAACTGTTCACCTCGAGGTGATGAGTGCCGGGTTGGAGAATGGCATAGACTGCTGTTACTGGGCATCTCATCAAGACATATTCTGCCTTTATTTGTTGAATCTTAACATTTGCAAAAAAACAAAAAACAAAAAACAATGAATATCACTGGAAAGATGCTTGCCTGGCTTAACATTACACTTTACCTACCTGGTTGACTTGATTCTGGAGAGATGTCAGGAGGCCTTCCCGTTGCTCATCTTGCCCTTTCAGGCAGGTGAGGACCAGTGAGAGGAAAGGCTGCTGACTCAAGAGAGACATACTGCAAAGGAAGTCACCATAGCAAATCTGGTTAGACAGAACAGGCTGCTTCCTATCCCAGTAGTCATGTCTCCCCCTCTGGGACATCTGCTTTCATTATCTTACTAATGGATACAGAAGAGGTGGAAATTACCAAAGACCACTGGAAAAGTTAAATCATACCTCTACTTATGAAATTAAAAGCAACTGTAATGCATCTATTGGACTTATAGGCATTTATTACCCTGGAAGGCATTCAAAAACCAGTGCAAGTCTGCATACTGTATGTGCAGCAGCAGAGTGGTGCAGCAGAAGCGTGCTGAGCCCATACATACTACATGTGCATATGTGGTAAGGAGTAGGAGGTGATAAATTTGTGCTGGACATCAGTAAGTAGCACTTTAATGTATACATCAGAAAGAAGATGTATTTAATCGTGCAATAAAGTGAGACATTGAGAAACTTTTCACCTAGAACTGTTAAAGTGTAGGAAACAGGCCTCTCTGTGTGCAGAGATTGTCTTGGAGATTTGCCTCATTTTCAGCACTTTTTCAGATCAAATAGCAGGGTACTGGTACAACTAGGGTTACCAGCAAGCCCTGGATTGCTGCTAGTGACCTCTAGTGCCCAGCTCCACTAGCGCTCATACCTTTGCTGCTAAAGGGACTTCAAGGCATTTGGCAAAACTTCTAATTAAATTGCTATTTTAATACAATAGCTTAGAGAACAATCAACAAAGCAAGTGCTAAAAATAAACATTTCTTAAAATGAAATCTAAGCCAGAATACTTCAATCAGTTCCATCCTCTATAGGATTGATAGTCTCTGATGTAAAAATGACTTTCTAACTCTAAAAACACCTCTGAACGGGAAATTGAGCAACATACACAGCATCATCCACTAACACACACAATTTGAAAATCAGATTTAGGTCTCCTGTTTGGCTAATCAGAACTGACAAAGGTGGGGAAACAACAGAAGACAAGCAAAGTGTATGCCCGGCTAGGTCTCCACGAAATGCACTGTGCTTACGAGCGCAGTCTCAGAAGCCAGCCTGCCTGGGCTGAAAGGCACTTCAGCTCCTCTGCTGGGCATCCGTGCATCACTACGGGGCCCTGCGCTGCCTCAGCTCCTCCACCGTAAAGTACAGACACGGAGAACACACACCGTACATACGACTGCTGAGAGAATCCTAGTGTTTGCGGATATGGCGAATTTGTACAGGAAATAATATTGCATAAGATGTCAATAAAGGGCAGATATGAGAGATATGAGAGAGTATTGTTGATTAGAAAATAAGAAAAATGTTTGGCATATTTATAAAATGGAAGAAATTGCCACTTTATCTTGTGATGCTAATTCACAACATGAAGTTCTATTCTTCCTCAAAAATATAATCAGTTTTCCAAAGTAATTGTTGTAAACCTTTCCTTAGGCGTAAAGTAAATTATGAAGAAAACATTGGCTTTGGTGACTTAGAGATTTTCATACTTAGTCAGGAACAAGGGACTTAAATGTTGGAAATAGTAGTAACTACCTCAGGATCTAGCATGCCAGGATTAAAAATACTTGTTTATTATGAGCACCTTCTCCAGAAAATTAGGAAATTAGCAATTCAGAAAGTTACAGGTGGCCAATCCCATCTGACTTGCCTGATATGAAGTAGGGCTCAGAGCATTTTTCAAAAGCTTAGCAGTGATTCTGATGCACAGACAGAGTTGAGGACTGGTGTACTAACTATCACTGGGAGCATTTTAGGAACAGAGCCCTGCCTAACAGAGTCCTTTGCATTCCATTTAAAAATAGATGTCAGTGGATGCTTAGTGCAGTGACCATGTATTTGCAGGATACTACATCACCATAGGTATTCTTTACACTGTCATGTTAAGAGACACACCTTCCCTTCCAGTCCTACCTTTTCTGTTTCTGTCTGTCTCGCTCCTTCTTTGAGGAGGAGCCTAAGTGCTGTCCCTTCTCGAGCTCTTCCCCAGCAGCTTTCAGCACTCGTCCCTGCACAGACGTGGGCAGCCTGGCGATGAGGGGCGCCACCAACCACACACCCCTGCGTTCAGAGGAACTGAAATCAAAAGCAGGTGTTACACCTCAGAAAGTAGCCCCAGTCTCTGCTCTCCCAGTTGTGACAGAAACTCCCAAACTCTGAGCACCAGGTAAGGACCATTCTAGAATTGCACTATTATGGTTTGCAACTAGTTGCCCCCAAAAGCCTTATGCAGTTGTGGGGTGGACTTCTAGAGGTTGTGATTAATTCATGATCCAGTGTTGGGTTATGGGTATAAGTGTTTCTGGGATTATGGGCTTGAGTGCAACACAAACCCTGGATTGGGTAATCTGCATCAATATAAGGGAGGGAGAGGGCTTGCTAGTTGTCACAGCTGCTGCTCTGCCCTTTGCTCTTTGCTGTTTTCTGCAGCCATGAAAGGTTGCTCTCTGCCATGTGTCACTCTGCCTTGGAGCCAGCCAAGTATGGGCTGAAACCTCCACTAACTGTGAGCTAAATAAACCTTTCCTTCCTTCATTTTGGGTGTTGGGTACTTTGTCCCAACAACCAGAGAAAAGTCCCCAAGATATGTGTTTTGATTTATGTGCCATCTTTTCTCTTGCTCGAAAGACTAGTTCTTGCTTGCACCTTCTACCCACTCTAAAGAGAAGCAACGAAAGATTCAGTTCTGAGAGGACACTGGAAATGAATCTACTTTCTAGTATTTTTCTATGATTCTGGTCTGTGGTTAGTAGGATTCAGTCACTGTTCTGCTCAACAAATAATATACTTTCCTGTCCTTGTTAAAACATACAATGTTATGATTAAGTGTAATAATAACTGGTGGTTTTAAGTTTTAAAGTACACTAGTTATTCTTTTTTTTTTTTTTTTTTACCAAAATGATGAAACACAAATCTGCCTTTCATGATTGAAGGATTAATTCAGAATTTCATATGCCTACTTGCTCTAAATTCTAAACAAATATCTACAGAATGATTACCATGGAATGCAGCCTCCTAAGGGTCACTGCCAACATGAATCAAACCTGAGTCCAACAAGAGATCCCAGGTGTCAAAGGCTACTTAAGCATGGATTGACAATGCTGAGAACAGTGTTGACCCAGTTTCACCCTTTCCATTATTACCAAACTGTAACTGTCACTTACAAGCAATTACTTTCTTCACATTTCCTTTACCTTAATGAAAAATACAAATAGTAGATAAATAAACCTTACCATTACATGTGAAAAATTAATGATATCCCAATAAAACTACACTAGAATACCTTAGGAAAGTCTTTATTCCATTCTGTCTCGTGCCACTGGCATCAGCACTTCCAATACCACTTGGGTTGAAGAGACTCATGCCAGGATTAGAGGAGTTATTATTTAGGTCTGCAGACTGCTGGAATACTTCTATCGTCGCCTTAGCAATATTATCCAGTAAGTTGTTCATTTCAGCCACAGAGCCGGAGCCCTAGAGTTAGACAGAAGAAAGCTAGCGCACCCATAGTCCTCCACCTTCAAACATCAACGTGGCTTTGCTTTTCATAAAACTCCATTCACATACATGTGCCCAATATATACTCACAGGGTCCTTCAGGCACTGCTTGATCATTAGCTGAAGCTCAAGCCAGGACTGTCTCAATGTCCACTGCTCAAGATTCTGGTTAAAAAGAAAGAACTGAAATGCTAGGACTATTGAATCAATTTTAATATACAATAAATGCAGTATATCATCTTTTAAGAATGAAAAGAACAATGATACACAAAGAATTTATATGAATCAAAGGCTTATAATCCTGTTACATATATTCAGCACACACACACACACATACACACACACACATAACATCAAGATAATGTAATTGACTCAGCTAAGAACTAGAAATAAAACAAACATGTTACCTATCAAAATCCATTTATCTAATGTAACCTATCCCAATATAATTTTAGTATTTCTAGGATAATATATTAAGACTGTCCCACCACATGTAAATATAGTGCTAACTCAAAATATTAATATTTGCTTTATATATAGATATAGATATATAGATATATATATCAGCATTTATATCTACTTAGCAGTAAAACCTTGGCAATTGCACAGCAAAAAAAAAAAAAAAAAAAAGAAAAGAAAAAAACTAAAGAACACAACAGAATTAACTGAAGACAAGAATTAATGAGAAGTGGGGGCGGGGCACAAGCAGGGGCGAGGGAGAGGAGGGACGGAGGGGGCAGTAATTCTCCTAATATCAGACTATGTTAAATGACAGAAGCAACAGCGGGGCGCACGAGTCACCTGCAGGATGCGCTTGATGTGCTGTCGCTGCAGGTTGTCCCCCTCCGTGCACTCCTTGATGCCGTGGGGGTAGCAGATGAGCTGCAGCAGCTTCTGGGCTTGCATATTGGAAAGCACAGGGTCCAGGATGAGCTCCTTATCCGTGCACAGTCTTTCAGGTTCTTTTAAGCAATGTTCTCCTACCCATTCCTAAAAAGAATATGGCAGTGAGGCTGACAGGCACCGACTTTCTATGTGACTGTGTAATATGTGCTAAGTTCACAGGGCAACAGGCACATGAACTTGCCAAGAATCTTCCAGTTTCAAAAATTACATGAAACAGGTAGATAGAAAATTTTTCAAAACAAATTTCCAGCAATCTGACTTCTTAAAAATATAGCGTATATCTTTATTTTAAAAAGTTTTAAAGTTTATATGCAAAAAAAGAAAAAAAATACATAGCATATGTTTTCAACTAGAATATAAGGCTTGATTTATGACTCTTTTAAAATGTCTTAAAATTTGGTATAAAATGGTTTTATAACATGTAGCCTTCATAATATGTATAGCATACATGAATGGTAGATCACTGAACAGACAACACAGTATAACAAAAATTTTAAAAACGATCTTCCTCCTTGATACTACTGTGTATGTTGCTATTCCAAATGGAAAACTGTGTGCATCTACTTTCTATACAATTACTTTTCTTATGATAATTTGAAAGAATCACAACTACTGGGTCAAAGGGTATATCAAAAGTTTAAAGCTAATTGTCCTCAAGTTTCTCCCAATTTAATCTCCTAGCATCTTTTCCTCACCATTTTTTCAAAAACAAATTCTTGTACTATGGGAGATGAGGTTAAAAAATCAGAAATGGTAGCAGAGCTCAATTTGAAATCAGATCTATTTCAGATCAAGTATATTTCTTAGTCACCACACCAGAGACTCGATGCTGTCCATTAAAATCTCCTGAGGAGTTTACAGAACTCCATTCTCAGGTCTTATATTAGACCAATTAAATCAAACACAGGTAAAGGTACTGAGATATTATGTTTGCATTTTTTTCTGTAGGCCTCAAATTCTTTCTTTCTTTCCTTCCTTCCTTCCTTCCTTCCTTCCTTCCTTCCTTCCTTCCTCATTCATTCACTCATTCAGTCAGTCATGGCTACTGGCCCTGGTAAGCCAGGTACAAACTCCCTGGCAGCCTGCTATTGGGCTCAGATGGACTTTCCTGGTACCAACGACAAGGAGCCTACACCAGACTGCACACCAGCTGAGCTCTAGGATCTAAAAACTGGTGTGTATGCTCACATTGGGAACTAAACCATAACACCTTTTCAGCAACTATATAACTATTCAGCTAATCTTATCATGGTTAGAATAAACCTGTAACATACAAAAACACTGCACAACTTTATATCTATGGTAAAATACAAAATATATAAGTCCTATCACTTTTTCCTAAGTAAGAAGTATTCACTCATTTGTTTGTTTGTTTATTTATTTTGTATTTTAGGGAAGGGTCTACAGGGTGTTCAGGGTCTCACTACTAGTGATTTGTAGTGATCTGCCTTTTTACAGCCTCCAAAGAGCTGGGATTACAGGTGCATGCCACCACAACCAGTCTCAATTGCTATCTCAGTGTGCCCCAGGGGTGGGGCCGGCATGGCAGGTCCAGGGATTGAACCCCTAGCCCCTGCACCTGCATGCAGGTGCTTTAATCCGCTGAGCTATTTGGCTGGCCTTAACAACTATTCATTTAAAAAACATGAAAGGGGGCCGGGGAGATGGCTTAGTAGAATATGCACTTTCCTGGCAAGTGCAAAGGTCTGAGTTCATTCCCTGGTTCCACCAAAAAAATAAAAATAAAAATAAAAGTAAAAAATAAAAAAAAAAAAACATGAAGGATGCAAATGATGAAATAGACCAACTCAGGCAGGGAGGGCCAAACAAAGACATATGGGAGACAGAGCTCATCTCTGGATACTTCATGTGCAGTGTAATTATGTATTTCTATACAAAGACCTGGGATATAAGAGAATTTACACAGAATTTAAAAACAAATGAATCTATTTCTATTTTAAATATAGAATACATTAGAAATTCAAATAACCTTTGAATGCAATATTATGAAACTATTGGAAGAAAAAGAAGCACAAAGCAATCTTAAACTTCTCTTAGTAACGTCCTTTTCCTCGAGTCATATGGTAATCATTCCGAAGCACAGTATTTTGGGTGTATTGAAAATTAAGCAAAATAGGTAAGGCAGCTGATGCTGCGGGAATGCAGAGTCCTGACACTGCGAGAGTGCAGTGCGGGACAGTCAAGCACACTTCAGAGCTGGGCTAACACTGGAGGTGTCAGTGTGAACTCACAGTTACACAGACATGGACACACACACACGTTTATGCATATAGATGTAGGTTGTTCTTAGCTCTGTCTGCTGAAAGACCTGGGAACAGCAGCACAGCAGTCTCCTTAATGTGCATGCAACATACTAGTTCTTGCTTTCTAAGCACTGTGCTCTACCAAACAGAAGCAGCACTCTGTGGAGGACGTGGGACGGCAGCTCTGAGGCAGGGGATGGGCTGGAAAGTGGGAAGCTCGCCCAGGACAACCTGGACACTAGAGTAACTAAGGACAACATATTCCACATATGGATGATAAAAAAACACACAGGTAAATAGAAGAAAAGGCTAGGGCTTTCCTTAAATGGTGAAAAAAATGATATTGTGCAGGAGGAAATGGGGGGTTACCATTTTGCACCTGTAACAGCTGGTTTGGACAAAAACCAAAATGAATGCGTACAAGGGTGGGGAAATCTGCACATCTTGAAGTGCCTCCGCAAGGAACTCTTATTAATTACAAGAGGTTAAATGGTATCTATACAGTAGAGAAAGCTTAAAATTAAAATGGAGATAGCTTAATCAACGTTAAATCACCAATAAGGTACAAATGGACAGTGTGTGCCTTAAGACGTGGGTACCTGGAAGAACACAATTTTACTTCTGTAGTTTCTTGGCAAGAGTTGTATAATCAGAAGCTAATCTTCAGGAATCTTTAGACTAATGCACTAGCAATAAGACAAATGATCAAAGTGGAACATGGCCTAGAGATGACTAAAAACTACTCTACCAATCATAAGTTTCCTGGTGTTTAGAAAATATAGTTTGAATATGTCATGAAATGAAAATGGAAGTATTCAAAACTCAAAGAAAAAAAAAAAACCACCATCTACTCAAAGGGTTCAGGAAGAAAATAAGCACCCACATTCATACAGACAAATACAATCATAAGGCTCATGCAGGCAAAATATAAAAATTAGCACATATAAAGAATATTTTGTAGACCATTATTGCTATTATTATTATTATTATTATTATTATTACTATTATTGCAACTTCTCAGGAAGTTTGCAATTATTTCAAGATAAGGTAGTGGCAAAAAAAAAAAAATCACCTGTGTGCAAGTTTTTTACAATAGTGAGCATCTATCTTCAGAAGTTGTTGCATTTTCACGCTAAGAGGCAAAATGAACTGGAGAATACCTGTTGGCAGATAGTCCTGAGGACGTATCTGGCATATTCTCTTAAATTGGCAGTCTCTATGGAAATGCTCTTCCCGCAAGGTTTCACGCTCTGAGAGGCGGTCCAGATATCATCAGTGTTCCCATCACGCCGTAAACTTCTCATAGCGAAGTCGTCATTCTTTAAAGAGCTGACACTGTTACTGCCAATTTTGGCGTCTCCTAAATGAAAGGATCACAAAAGCAAAATCACAGAAGTTCAGAAGATTGCCAAATATTTGAGAGGAAAATGAGGCTAGCTCTCAGGGATTTAAAATATGTGAATGATGTTATCACATGGTCAACTGTTTAGCAAAGAGAGAATGAATCAGGAGAATAAATGAAAGAGCCTACAGAACTATCAGACATGGAGAAAAGGCGAGTTCTCAGCTCACGCCTTCTGCTTGCAGAATTAGACACACTCACCAAACTTGGAAAGGCCACCATGAACCACACTGGAGAGTCACAAAACATTGATTTCACTAGAAATTTAAGCATGAAGGTACTCAAATTGATTTGACTAATAGACAAGGAAAAATGGATTACTCACCCTATTAGATGTCCCTTTTCCATTTCTTCTCTTACAATGACTTATTTTCTATCCATAGGTCAAGAGAAAAGTTTTGCCTTAGCTCACCTTACTATCAACTTCTTGCAAGAGAGATTTATTTCCCTGGGAATGGAAAAGGGCAATGCATACTAAGGAAGCCCTGCGAGTAGGGCATTCATAGAATAACCCATGCCTTTCACCTTCTCGCTGTAACATCCAAATGAGAACCCTCACCTCATCAATCTCTACTTTCTCAGTGAAATGAAGATAAGAAAAGTGTTATCCTCATAACATAGTTCTGAGAGGAAACAACTGAACAGAATACATTTGAATAGCCAGAGGAAACGTTTAGTGGTTAAAAAAACAATATCCTATTTTAAAAGTGAGAGTCCTATAGTTTGGCAGTAAGGATTGCCAAAGTATAGCAGAGCATTCAAACTTGTGACTGCTTACCAACAGGACCTAAATAAGCCTTGAAAAGAAAGTTTCCTGGGACAAAAAATAAGTATAGGCAAACCCTTTGTGGCCTGAAGCAAGTGAGTGAAACTAAGCCCACATCAGTATTAGAAAATCTTTTAAAACCTGAAATTTTGACTCTGCTGAAAAAAAAAACAAAAACCCTGAACATTCACCTACAAAACCTAAAGAGGAGGATGCATAAACAATACACTGCAATCTGCTCATATGCTACCATACATTTCTCAAATGAAATGCAAATACAAGAATAATTCCTATTCATCTACTGGAATTTATCTAATGCATCAGAGATTTTTTAGGAACTGAAGGAATGAACACCAAACACCAACATTTAGTATGTGCTCTTCATCATTAAGTGATAAAAATAACTATCACTCCATTTCAAATTAAACAGCTATGGGATTTATGAACCAAATTCCATGTGCCAATCCCATCTTCCAATCTGTAGATGTATTCTGGTAAATAGGGATTGGGAGGATACTGGGAGGACACTGATGATGTAGTAAATTAAAGCCTCTTTAGATCAAAAAGAGACAACAGCCCCGCCTGGGCCAGCCCCAGGCCAGCTATGACCGGCTAGGGAGGAGACTAGGGAAGGCGGGCAGCCTGTGCCAGGACCTGTGCTACTGCGCAGACCACCGAGCAAGCCAAGCGAGCAGTGAGAGCCTGGCCCAGGGTGCGGCTGATATGCGGCCAGCCCGACCCCGGCCCACTCGGGCCCTAGAACACCGCAGGAGGAGTCAGCTGTGCCTAGACGGCCTGTTCGTTCCTTCATTCAGGGGAACTGACTGGCCATCTTTCCCTACAAACATGATCTGGGTAGAGAAATTTTACTCACTAAAATGAGCATTTAACATAGGCGGCAATACCACAAACTCCTAGAGCTCAGAGGAGAAGCTGCAGCTCCTCAAGGTAATTCTACTCTCCCTCTTTGCTACAAAACTTGTGGGCATTTCTTAAGAATATACTGTTTTTCTGTGAACTTTTAATAGGTTGTTCTATTAAAAAAAAAAAAAAAAAAAAAAAAAAAGACCTCTCGTATTCTCCCTTGTCATTCCTGAATAACATCTCCCCAAACAGGACAGGGTTACTGCCTCGCTCATATTGTTTCTTTTCTTTCTTACTTTTAAATTTTGAGACAGTTTAGCTAAGGTGCTGTGTAGCTGGAGCTGGTATTAAACCTGTGATCTTCCTGCTCAGCCTCCTACTGTGCTAAGATTACAGACACGGACCACTACTCTGGCCCACACTCCCCTAATTCATGTTCTTTAAGAATCATCTACAGCAATTCCTAGCCACTCCATCACTGTTTTAATCAAAGAGGGCTCGGTAAGATTAGAAGAGGTAACTATTACTTAGTCAACACCAAAAAGAGGTACTTAAATAGAGAATTAGGCATTATCAGTTCAAAAATTCTTAGTCCTTCAAATCCTTTATTAATTTACAAAATAAATATTTCAGAGTGCTATACAGTACACGAACCGCAAGCATTATTATTACTTCAAGAGAATATATACAAATAAGGATGTGAGGGCCAATTTTTTAAAGAAGGAATTAAAATTAAGGATTACTACGATAGCTAATGGTTAACATAAACACAATTAAATCAATGACCTGACTCATGAAAGAACTATGGCAGGAAACTTAAAACTTGATAAGGTCATAAGAGCAGCAGAACCTGTGTGACTAAGAAGCTTGGCTTTCTGATGCGCTGCCCCTGGAGTACACCCGGGCTGGGGCTCGGACCCTTGGTCACGTCCAGAGGCAGTCCCGGCCCTCATCAAGCGGGACTCCTGCCAACAACAAGGGCAAAGCAGCCCTGCGGCTCCTTTTTACACTGCAATGAGATATCCTGGACTTCAACAAAACAAAAAGTACTATTTGTATTTCCCTTCTCCAAGAGTCACGCTAGATAAGGGACAGAATTCTGCAGAGTTCAATCATACTTGCAGGAGGGAAAGTTAAAGACTTTTTCCAGAACAATCAAGGAAAACAAACCATGTTTCCAATAACACAAATTAGATTCTAACTTGAATACACATTATTTTGCCTGCATTTCTGGTGATTAATCAAGAAACTCAGGGACAATGTAGTCTTACCGAGCATCATAATTGCTTTTAAGACAGCAAAAACAGCTCCCACTTCGATGCTGTTGTGAGCAGCAGCTAAAAGGTGCCTATCACAAGATGACCTTATTCCAGGGAGAGGTTTGCCTACAAAAACAACAACGAGCCTTTAACAGTCTCACCATCATCATTAACCGCCTGTCGTAATCATTTACAGTTAGCAAGGCCTTTCACTGTTAGGTTGTGGGCGCTTAATTGCCGTTAGCTTGCTCTAATTGATGTTCCATGAATTCACTGACACTGCCAGTACTCTTACTTAACCTTTTTTTTTTTTTAATTATTAAAGCAATGTTTTGCTCTGTAGAGAGATGTAGCAAAAAGATTAGTAAGATTCCCACGCAGACACCTACATATCTACATGGAAATGATTCTCAGGAACAGACTTTACTAACAATTCTTACCTCTTTTAACAATCCTGTACCTGTCTACAATTCTTACCATTTTCCTGAGGAAGAGGATAAAAGAAACACCATTACCTTAAGGTATGCTGGTATGGTTCAGAGATGACTGCACTGCCCACCAACAGGGCATGGCCTAAGAGCCAAGGTATTTTTATTATTTGCTAACTCCTGGCTTTTCTTTCTCAATATATCCTGATATTATATAAGTAAAAGGTGCTGACAGCACTCTTGGTAGCATTTTCTCACTCATTCATCACCACCAGATCAAACCCACAAAAATCAGGAAGGAAATTACAAATGGACACCCCACTTGTTATTTCAGAGCATATACCTCTACACAAAAATGTAGTAAGAGGTTTTTCAGCTGTGGGCTCACCCGCTGCCTGAGGCAAGAAGCAGGCCTGCGGAGCTCGGAAGAGATGAAGCAGGAGTCGGCATGTCATTCTTGCCCCGGGCTCTGCGTCAGCATCTCCACAAGCTACGAAGAGAGGATGAAGACGCACGCACGCTCGTTAACAGAGTCAAGAACAAGTCCTTCAGGTTTTCTACTACAAGAAATTTTCAGGGATAATTTAATTAATTTTTCTGATAGTAAGAAAATAAAGTAGTGGCTATACTTTTCTGAGAAACTCAAGTCAAGTGCTTCCCAAAATTAGGTAATAGATCCTCTTTAGCAAGGATCTAGGTGACTTTGTATAGAACAGGTATTGAAATGAAACTCTTACCATCTCTAACTGACACTACACCCCTTGGCAACATACATACACCTTACATTATACTTTCCCTATGTTTACTACACTACAGGAAAACTTCTAAATACAAACACAGCTCTGGATGCCTCCTTACCTGCCGCTAGGAGAGAGGGAAGGGCGACGTGCTGCACGACGTCCTCCAGGGAGAAACACTGTCGTGCTATCAGAATAGCAATGAAAGTAGCTAATGAATCATGGAATGAAAGGTCACTCACCTTCAAGAAAAACATTGACAGGTTTTAATATCTAACACCCTTTTAAATATGCTATAAGATCAATATTCTCTAAGAGAATGTAGGCATACCAATAAGATCTCAAACCCTAACATTATCCAGAAGATAGAAATGATAACTTCTCATGACATTTGGCATGTAGGTCCATTTCTACTTTATAAGACAAAACACGTGGTTTACCCACATTCAAATGGTATAAGAAGATACTTGGCTTTACCTTACACACATGCAATGGAAAAGCTACACACACACACACACACACACACACACACACACACACACAAATTTAAATCACTCAAAGTAGTAGTATGAATAGTACTTTTGGCAGAAAGCAGTATGTTAGGTCATTTAAAGGTAAGAGCACTTGGAAGTAGGAAAAATAAAAGACAGTCTAGTAGGAAAATAAGACAATAGAGTTCCATTTTGCAACAACTGGCTAGATTTTGTTAATGTGATTAGTTTTATAAATAACTTTGAAAGTTTACAAGTGACTCCAAGATTTAAAGAATAGAGACAGAGGAAGGTAAATAATTCAGTCACAGGCAAAGCTAAGGAATTCTCTTAGCTTCGTAAATTCGTAAATCTTACAAGACATTGGCAGAGAATAATAAGAAATGACTACTGCCACCTTAGCTTTCATTTTGATTGGTTCTACAGGCCAGGGACTATGGCTAGCAATTTATAAAAGTCACCTCATCTAACAGCACAAGACTGTAAGGCTCACACTATTAATAATTCCATGTTAATAGATGAGGAATTAAAGCAGAATACAAAATATAAAAAAGAACAACCAAGAGGAAAGGAACTAAAAGATAAAAACTTGGGTCTTTTCCGCCTGGAAAGAAAAAGTGTCATCACTAATAAATTTTATGTGTATAAGATCTTAACCTACACAATGGAGACAGAGAGATAAGACTGTTTACCCAGTCCAAGACAACTAGGGAGTAAGCCCTCAACTGAGAAGCAACTTCAAAAATGTTATTACTGTCGATTATAAAATATACTAGTCTATGGAAGACTATTATAAAAAGTGATAATATGGAGAAAAAATATCAAATTTATTTTTTAATAGGAACTCACACGTCATGCATACAAGCTAACATTTAAGGAATTCACATACAGGGAGAAAACGGTATTCCCCTGAGGAAATAGGAGGGGTGACACTGTAACTTTTCATCACGGTCCAACACACAATCACTAAGACTGAAAACCTTCTGAATCAACACTTGAGCTTTCTTAAGCAACACAACATCCATATTGTTAGACAGCATATACACTGGTTCTCTTCAAATTATAAAATGGTTATGTCGTCAACCATGAAAAACCCTATCTACATGGTTAAAACAAAGATCTGAATAGATTGCCCATACATTTTTAAAACCTCAGAATAATGAAACTTTTAGGAAACTCTTGGTACTACTGCTATAGATTAATCCATTTATTTTGTTTTTTTATTAAATTGTGAGCAACTGCTCTGTGGCTTACTGCTTTTAGACAAAAAGCATATTTTATAATGTTGCAGCTGACTACACCAGAAAACCAAAAAAAAAAAAAAAAAAAAAAAAAAAAAAGGTCAATTACCCCCTAGCTAAATTCTTAATTACAGTCTTACATGAAAAAGAAAACTTACATCTACAGTGCAAAGTACATCATTAAACCCCCACACGTGATTTGAAGAACAACACAGAGCCTTCAGAACCCCCAGCCACTCTGAACTCAGAACGGTACAGCAAGCAGTCAGCTCAGAGGAGAAATTGGCTATGTCGTTAATCCTAGAAAAGAAAGAGAAAAGAGTAACCTTTTTCAAAAGACAACTGGTCATAAGAGATGTACATGGGGAGCATATATTTCACTGTCACGGAGCAAATCATCCATCTTCTTAGATTTAAGGACATAATACTTATCAAGTAATCTATAGAAACTTAGGCAAGACATAAAAATAAATGTGTACAAATGTTTTTGAATCGCTGTTAATAAATCATACATGTCAATTACCATTATAAGAAATCTAAGCATCTTCTCTTTTATATTTTTTATTACTTGTCTCTTAAAATAGATCCTGTAACTTATGGACTGCTAATGTTTTTGAATCGTGCCATTACTAAATCATCATACATATGTCAATTATCAGATCTAAAATGTCTCATGCCAGAGCAGTAAGCCAGAAAGCACTGTCTCAGGTTATGCAAAGCAGAGGGAGGTAAATGCAGGAATAAAAGACAATGGGGGTGGGGGGTTGCTAGCCACACATGAGCTCAAACAGCTACTGGCAAGCTCCAGTCCACAGCAGCACCAAGGGGGCAAATCCTGGACGAAACATGGACCCCAGAGTAGGCCGCCTCACCTTCCAGCATCCTGATGGCCCATACACACATTCATGAGGGTGTTGCAGACAAAGCTGTAGCGATTGGCAGCATTGTCACTCAGGATCTTGCCCAGCATTGAGTAGTTGATGCTTCGGGCTGACGGATTCTCAATAAAATCCATCATGAAGTCTGGATCCCATCGCAAGTTGGAATTTGCAGGCATCACATTATTGTATATGGTTTGCTTTACTTTTGAACAGGCACTACTGAGGTTATAAGAAGAAAAGTTAAAAAAGGGAAAACTAGAACTGCAAGAAAATTATTTCACTTAAGGGCATGTTAAATTGCAGCAACTGTACTACATTCCTAGAAAACATTCATGTCATGAGTTCTTCATGTCCATGTTTGAACAATTAGCATTGGGCACACAGCCTGGCATGCAGTAACTCCTTAATGAACACTAGCAGAAAGGATGGGGAAAACAAAGCAAAAATAAGACATTTGGTTAATAAATATTATTTCCTAAATTTTTCCTACATTTTACATGTTCTAAACATCAAAGAATTTACTATACTTCCAAAAATTTTCTCGTGGGCAAAGTAATTTTTCTCTTTAGCAAAACATTATTAGTTAGCAATAAAGATGGATTCAGTTACACACAAGGAAAGGTGTGGTGCTGCGGGGCTGAGCGCACAGCCTGAAAGGCTATTGCTCCAGGTACAGCGCAGAGCCCAAGCTCCTGCGGGCACCGTGGCACAGCCGTAGGGAGGAGGCCACATTCCGTGTCCTAAAGACTTTGCACCCCACCAGCAGGATAGAAAGCATACACAAATTCTAGGAGAGTGAACAAACCACTATGTCATTCCTAAAAAGTTACTAGGTTGTGTTTCTTAGCACCATTAATACATTTTTAAGAGTCTTATTTATCACATCAAAACACATCATGTTTCAGTGGACTACATCTGAAGAGAAAACATTAGAAGTCTGAAGGGCGCTGGACTGTATCACCCCAGTGTTGGTCAACAGATGTAACTAAGGCCTGATATCAAACACCACACTCAGGCAAACCAAGCCGCTCACGTCCACGCGGTGAGTGAGCGTCCAGGCAGCCCTCGCCTTACACATTCAAGGGCTCTTCTCTGCTGTGCACCAGAAATGCTATTTTTTTCTTTTCTTTTGTTTTTATTTTTTTACTTTATTTTTGCGCAGAAATGTATTTGTGGTTAGAATGCTGTGACCTCTTTGGTAACCCCCAAAATTCTTTGCACCCACCTCAATAGAAGTTAGAAATCAGTGCCTCAAAACTGGAAAAAGCTTACACATTCTTACCCGATTGCTGCCATGGCTAACAGCTTTAAGAAATCAGAGATTGTTCAGCTTGGAGTTTACTAAAATGTAACTTCAGTCACCCTCCTTCAGAATCACCTCTGCCACGTTTGTTAAGAGCACAGATTCACAATTCTCACTGAGCCCACTGAGCCGCTAACCTTAATAGGCTCTCCCAGATGACTCCGATGACAACGCCTGGAAAGCACGGCCTCAGAAAAGACTAAGGTGAACCATTAAATGCAATAATTGCATCTTCTACAGCCAGTGTAGCCCTTTGCAGCAACCTTACGTAACAACTTCACAGTTAACACTGAGAGACCTAAGTTCGCAATCCCAAGTTAGGCCGTTTCCAAAATGACGACCATTCTACTGGCCCCAGGGTTTTCAAGCCATCCTTATTCTTTTCTGCTCCTTCCTAGCTCCCATCCTGACCCTGTACGTCTGATTTCCTCTGACTTCCTGTAAGCAAAGTGTGTAAGTATACAGACTTCTGCACACTGCAAAGCATTGCCTCTTCTTTACTCAACTTCCCATTTAACTACGCCAGTCTTTTCATGTCTAAAGAGCTAAGGACTCTGCTTTTCTTTCTCAGTTTTATGAGCTCTACCTGACTTTTCCTCCAATACACAGCCCTGTCCAGAGCGCCTGTCTCCAGCTAGCTGCACAGCTGTCTGAGTCCTGTGGCTCTGGCTGACTTCCCCTTTCACTTCATTTCTAGCCTTCCTACCTCATTCAGCGCACTCTTCCTATATGACAGTCTATGTTTTAACTCAGTGTCAGCTCCCACACAGACTCCACTCAGTGATCTACACGTAGGGAAGCCAACAACTTGAGACATTTTTTTTCTGCAAGTGTATGTATTCGAAAAGCCTGGTAAAGCAAATAAAGCAAAATATACATTGAAGTCAAAAGGATTTGTGCTCGTCAAGGCTTCACTAAGCATTAACTATGACCAGGAACAATCATTTGTTAATAAGAAAAGTTATTTCTACTTCCTGGGATGGCAATAAGGACTTAAAATCTTGGTGGAAACAGCCAGCACAGCACCTGGTATAGAGCACAGCTCAAGCAGTGGGAGATATATATTCCGATTTGGGACAACAATGTCCTCCAAAATGCTTATGAGTTCAGAGGTGGAGCTTCTGGGAGGTGACTGGCACATGGTGTGTCACCATCATTAGGGGACGGGCTCCCTGTGCTGGTGGGCGGTGGGGCCTAGGCGAGGAAGGGGGCCACAGAGAGTGAGGTAGTTTGGCGTGTGATACGCACTCTCTGGCCCCTTCCTCCTTCTCTGGCTCTTTCCTTCTGTTTACTGACTGTTCGGAGGTAAGCAAGCTTCCTCTGCACCCCCTTTCCTCCTGATGCTTTTCTCCTTTGGAGTCAACTGACCCTGCAGTGTAGCCTTGGAAACTGCAAGCCAAACCAATCCTTTTCTCTTTGAAGCTGCTTATCTCAAGTATCTGGAACAGAGATGAAAATCTGCCTAATGCAATGCAATTAGTGTTACACTTCCTCAATTATCTGCCTCACATAGGTCTACGGGTGTGTGAAAAAATAAATAAATAAAAACAAAAGCTAGAACAATTTTGTTAGTATGGTAACAGAAATACCTAAGCATCTAGTTGTTTGTCCATTTTTTCCAATTCCAAACTAAAATCATCACTCTGAACATATCCCAAGAAACCGGGTATTGGGCACTCACATGTAGTCCCAGATACGAGAGTGAGGCAAGAGAATTACTGTAGCCCAGGCGTTCCAGACCAGCCTAGGCAACAAAGGGTGGCCCTGTCTCCAAAAACCGATATCCAAGGAAAGCTGTATTTTTAATCCTTCTTCTTCTAGTGGTGAAGGTAGTTCAGACAGTTTACTTGAGCTATGCTACTCTACCAATCCTGACTCCTCACCACCCATCCCCTAATCTCTACACACCATACGCGCATTACTGAAATTATTTATCCTATTTGTACTGCACACAGGAACAGGAGGGGTTAAAAAAGCTACTAAAGCAATCTGAGGAAGTTCACAACTGTGGCAAATGCCACATATCATGAAAAAAGTCTGAAAAATATAATCCAAAACTGAAAGCTCTATGTGGTATAACAAAAGAAAATATTTATTACATCATTTCTGTGGAAAAGGATTTCCTAAGACTCCCACGGTGATTTACAAATGATCATCTTGAAACCTAACATGTCACATAGTAATACATTTTTACCAATACACCATTAAAATATGATTTTTCTTATACAATCTTTCATTCAACAGTAATGTGCACAATCAAGTGTTTGGGGCCACAAAGCAGCATCTCCATAGTGCCTGCTAAGAGCCACACATTCTTCCAGGCAATGGGATAAGGTAGAAAGACAGTTTCTGCTCTTGTGTATGTTACATTCCAGTGGGGAGCCAGGCAATAAATAAGGATATGATGTGTTGGAAATGGTGAAGTACTAAGGTTAAGAGAATGACTGCTATTGAAGTGAGGTGGTGAGTGAGGCAAAGCTAGGAATGAAGCATGGAAGTGGGCACACAACCGAATGCAGGAAGTGCAGAAGCAGGGCCAGCGCAGGTGTCAAAGCCCAAGGTAGGGGCCTGCAGACGGTGCTCAAAAACCAGGGAGAATCTCTGCATGGCCAGAACCGAGTGTACAGAGGAGAGGGGGCGAAGAACAATCTCGAAGCCTAAGACATTTGGATTCTATAATGCGTGGGTGGAACGCCACTAGAGTCATTGCTAACTGTAAAAAAGTCCTCAGTGGGCAGTACATTAAGCATATGCCCAAGCGGGGCACCAGTCACCAGTGAGGCTGATTCTGTTGCTGCCCGAGCAAGAGACAGCCCTGAGGACCATGACGAGGCTATCAGACAGTTGCTATATTCTCAGTAGAAGTGGAAGGTAGCACTCATAGTTTATAAACAAACTAGCACAAGGCATGAGAGAGCAAAAAAAACTATAACTGATCACACTCCCTTTTCCTTCTGAACTCCAAATTCCTTTTGCCAGAAATTATCTCTTCCTACTCTCCCATTATTTATAATTAACTAAAATTGCTCAAAATAACATTAAGACTTTTTCTCTTCTTAATTTCTTACACATGTCTTTTTTGCTTTCTTCTTCCAATTTTACATGCATATATCTGGTAATATGAATAACTGGTTGGAAGACAACACTATGTATCACAAAAAATACTGTGAAATTCATATTAATTTTGTTAAGTGAAAATCTGTATCACTTGTAATTTTTTGTTTTAATACTAATTTGCACTCTCTTATAAAATAAAAAAAGAAGTTAAAAAAGTAACATTAAGATTTTATGATTCAGCATTTGTGCTACCTGTAATGGTATCAAGTACTAAGATAAAAAGAATATCATGGGGTTGGGGTGCCACTCGAGAGGGACACAGACGAAGTGAGGTAGGCATGCAAACAGATCTGAAAGAATGTTTCAAAATAGAAGAATAAAAAGAGTATTTCTTGCAAGTTCATCTCAAAATTGTAATCACAGCTAAACACAGTAATTTGTAGTGGGTTACAGTCATTGCAAGAGGTAGTTCAATATGAATTGTGGATAAGGACTAAAAATATAAAATTATCTTGTGTAGAAATATAATCTTCTAGAATTGTTAAACATAAAATGTTAAAGCAGCAAATTTATTAAAATGCACAACCTGATAGCAAAGGCATCTGTGAAGTCAAAGCCAGCACAGAGGCTAGCTACAGACTTTACGGCATCTTCTTATAATTAACTCACATATGACTCTTTTTTTTTTTTTAAATTTTATTTGTGTGTGTGTGTGTGTGTGGCCAGCTCAGCCCACCAGGGGGCAGGGCTGGCTGGCATGTGGTGCTGGGGGATTGAACCGAGGTCCCTGTGCTTTTTGCTAAGCTTGTTCTAAGTAGGTGCTTAGACCATTGAGCCATCTCACCAGCCCCTCACATATGACTCTTACTGGGAGATGTTGTTCAACTTTATCAAGTTGAACACGAATCAAATAAAATTG